TCTCCCCAGTTACACGCGTCTGCTCAGGTAGCTACCCAGTGTGAGTGTCACCGGCTGTCGCACGACACTCTCCTGTAGCACCACCGCCTTGGTCACCCCTCCCTGCCTCGCCTGCGTAGCATGCACTCTTGCTTCCTGGTCTTTGGTCTTCCCAGGTATCTGCCTGCACTACCTCCCTCGCCTACGCCGCCCTGCATTCCTTGCGTCAAGGGGCGACAGTGCGCCGCTCCTCACTCCTCGTTTCCCCCGACGACTGCTCCCCTGCAGACTCTCCACATGGACGTGTGGGGCCGAGCCCGCGTCAGTGGACAGAGCCGCGAGCGGTACTTCCTGCTGGTTGTCGACGACTACACGCGTTACACCACGGTCTTCCCCTTGCGGCGCAAGGGGGATGTCCCTGATGTTTTGATCCCCTGGATCCGCGCTGCTTATCTCCAGCTCCGCGAGCGGTTCCAGTCGGACTTTCCTGTCCTGCGTCTGCACTCTGACAGAGGTGGTAAGTTCTCCTCAGACCTCTTGGCGGCCTTCTGTGCGGAGCACGGCATTCGCCAGACTTTCACGCTTCCGGCCTCTCCGCAGCAGAATGGGGTTGCTGAGTGCCGCATTGGCTTAGTCATGGAGGTCGCTCGTACCTCCATGATCCATGCGGCTGCCCCCCATTTTCTGTGGCCGTTTGCGGTCCGGTACGCCGCGCATCTGCTCAACCTTTGGCCCCGTGTCTCCTTGCCGGAGACCTCGCCCACACTGCTGTGGACGGGGAAGGTTGGCGACGCGTCGCGTTTCCGGGTCTGGGGTGCTCGTGCCTTTGTCCGCGATACCACCGCGGACAAACTCTCCCCTCGCGCCATTCCTTGCGTCTTCCTTGGCTTTGTCCCTAACGCGCCTGGCTGGCAGTATTACGACCCCGCCTCGCGCCGTGTCTTTGCGTCTCAGGACGTCACCTTTGACGAGTCGGTCCCCTTTTACCGCCTCTTCCCCTACCGCACTGCTCCTCGCCCCCTCCCGCCGCTCTTTCTCACCCCAGGTCCTCCCCAGGTAGACCCCCTCCCCGTGCCAGGTCCTGCTCCTTCAGGTGTCTCTCATGTAGACCCCCCCGCGCCTGCGCCTGTTGAGGTCACTTGTGACTCCGGTCCTGCTGGAACTGGTGCTGTCCCTGGGGGTGTGGAGCTTGGGGGTGCTGAGTCTGGGGGCGCTGAACGTGAGGAGCCTGAGGGTGCGGAGCCTGGAGGTTCTGAGCCTACACGTGAGGAGCCTGGAGGTGCTGCGTCTGGGGGTGCTGCGTCTGGAGGTGCTGCGTCTGGGGGTGCTCAGCCTGCGTGTGCGGAGCCTGGGGGTGTTGAGTGTGGGGGTGCGTCGCCTGAGGGTTCTGAGACTGCTGTTACGCGGTCTCCTTGGAGTAGCCGTCTTCGTCTGCGAGTGCCCCTCACCTCCCAGCAGCTGCACAACTGGTACGGAAGCCGTCAGCGGCGCGCTTCTGCACCTCGGGGCTCTACTGCTGGGGGTTCTTCTGATGGCGTCACTGGAGCAGGGAGTGGTGCTGGTCCTTTGCCTGCTGAAGGTGCTGGTGTCGCTGGTCCCGGAGGTGCTCGTACTGGGGGTACTGGAGCTGCTGGGGCTGGCGGTGTTGTGGCTGAGGGTCCTGGAGCTGCTGAGGGTGCTGGAGCTGCTAGAGGTTTTGGAGGTGCTGGAGCTGCTGAGGGTACTGGAGCTGCTTGAGGTGCTGGAGCTGCTGAGGGTACTGGAGCTGCTGGCGGTGCTGGAGCTGCTGAGGGTACTGGAGCTGCTGGCGGTGCTGGAGCTGCTGGAGGTGGTGGAGCTGCTGGAGGTACTGGAGCTACTGGAGGTGCTGGAGCTGCTGGTGCTGGTGGCACTGCTTAGCAGCGCCTGTTCTTCGCTCTGCCGTCTCCGTCGTCTCAGCCACCGCCTGACTCTACCCTTCGCCAGGTTCTCAGTCTTCCCTCGTCTACTGGTCTTCCGTTACAGCCTGACTCACCCTTGCCTGCTCCTTCTCCGTACACAGAGCAGACTAGAGGCCTTGCTGAGCGTCGTGAGCCTGCGTCGCGTCCTGTCTCACCTGTCCGTTCTGGTCGTCGTCTTCCTCATCAGCGTCAGCCGGCTGTCTCCGGCCCTCACCTTGTAGTTCGTCGTCCTTCCTCTCCTCAGCCGCAGGTTCCTCTGCCGTCTCCCCCTGCGTCCTCTCTGCCTGTCGTTGCTGACCCTGCGTCTGACCAGTTTCGTACTGAGCACCCTACTGTCACGCGTCTGCTTGCCACTGTTGTCGCTGACCCGTCGTTTGAGTCTGCTGCTGCGTCTGCCTTAGTCGCTGAGCTTGTCGACTTTGCTGCTGCCTGTCGTCTCGACTACGCCGCTAGTCTTGTTGCTGAGTCTGAGTCCGTCTGTCCTCCGTCCGTCGGGGGTGAGTGTGCTCTTGGCACGGACGACCATGAGGACAGGCAGGAGGACCTTGAGTGTCTTGCAGCCGCTGCGCCTCATCTCGTGGCCATGCTGCTTGCCCCTGAGGGAGACCTGGATGCACCAGACATCCCTACCCCGCGCTCTTACGCTGAGGCGATCGCGGGTGAGTACTCCTCTCAGTGGCAGACAGCCATGGACGCAGAGATGGCATCCTGGAAGTCCACAAGCACCTACGTTTACGAGGTTCCCCCTCCTGGGGCGAACATTGTCAGTGGCATGTGGATTTTCAGGGTGAAGCGGCCGTCAGGTGCAAAATTGTAGGCTGAACCATCTGACGCGTGGCCCTCTGTCAGAATCCCAACCACTAGACCATTGGGATAAAAGGGCTTTTTTGTGTAGCGGGTGAGTGCGCACATAACCCCCAAGGCCAACGTGCCTGTAACCCTTCCTTATGATCAATCGGGGATCACCAGTGGACCTCTGACACCCCCCTCCCGCACTAGGATGCCCGAGGTGTACACACTGGGGTTCGAACCCGAGACCTTCGCTCTGATACCATGTCAGAATCCCAACCACTAGACCATTGGGATAAAAGGGCTTGTTTGTGTAGCGGGTGAGTGCGCCCATAACCCCCAAGGCCAACGTGCCTGTAGCCCTTACCTAGGATCAATCGGGGATCACCAGTGGACCTCTGACACCCCCCCCCCGCACTAGGATGCCCGAGGTGTACACACTGGGGTTCGAACCCGAGATCTTCGCTCTGATACCATGTCAGAATCCCAACCACTAGACCATTGGGATAAAAGGGCTTGTTTGTGTAGCGGGTGAGTGCGCCCATAACCCCCAGGCCAACGTGCCTGTAGCCCTTCCCTAGGATGAATCGGGGATCACCAGTAGACCTCTGACACCCTCGGTTGTATTCGCTAAAGTGCGAATATAGTAAGGAATTGTAATTCCTTACACACCCAGTATTTAGATGGCGTTCCCACGGTTTGGACAAGACGTGAGTCTGCCCACATGGTTCGTAATCCGGCGGATGGTGTCCATGGTGGGGTACTTCTCACTTTGGACACCGCTGTGTTTTATGCCCAAAATTCGCAAATTCGGCTACAATCTCGCCTCCAATTACAGAGCATAACGGAGTTTCGCCAACAGCAGCGAGTTCCAGCATTAATTTTCATGTGTATTTTCTCAAGTAGTTTTGTTTGTTCGAGCGTGGAGTTGACTTTGGTTTCTGTACAGGGAGAGAGTTTCTTCTCGATTTTTGAAACTCTTTCACCCCAAAAGTGATTCGTTCCCCCGCCCTTCGAGTTCACTTCACACTGTGGTTTGCTTGCGGATGTTATTATGAGACGTTCGATTGGGTAACCATGACGGATCTTACGACCAACATTGATTGCACAGTGGTGTCCAGACCTAGAGTCGCAACCATTCAAAATTTACAACATTGGAAATTTGCGAGCCGCGTGGGCAGACCGTCCAAACCGTGGGAACGCCCCCTTAGTACCCAATATTGTGGGTCCCTTGATATTTTTGTCGTCTAAGTTTTGGGGGTGTTGCCCAAATCAAGGATCCTACCGTATACTCCCGGACAAAACACCCCCCCATAATTGTACACCCCCGGGTAGCTTGTGCGGGGTGGGTGTTATGGGGAGCCTCGTTTCTACTATACCCCCCTTTTGGGCTGATTTTCTATAACACCCCCCTTTTCTTACGAATTCGTTATAATAGTCGTTAATGAGTAGCTGCAATATTGAAGAATATCGCGAAAATTTCTCCCTAGATGAAATTTCGCGGTACATTCACTTACAATCTACCGAGATTTCCCCCCTCGCACTACTTCGCTGTGACCACGTGCAGGCGAATCTTCCGCTGCAAGTGGCAAGAGAGGTGCCACATGGCATTTTCGTGGGGGTGATGAAGCTCGTGGCCGAAACCCACATTCGCGCCTCAGACAGTGATGTTAAAATGAAAATCAAAACACCCACATTGTCTAATTAAATAAACACTAACACTAAAATATACCATATGTAAAGACCCGGGTATTATGTATTTTTTTCCTATGAGGAGACCCTCCCCATTTTTTCCCTGTATTTTTAGCTATACCCTAGGGTGCTATGTCCGGGAGAATACGGTAGCTGCTGCAAACCTTGCTTCGACAAGGCTACACTGCACTGCCCAAGCCTCATCCAGCAAAACCAGCCACATTTTCCACATGTTGTGACTCCCCTCCACTCGCCAGTCTCTCGAGTGCTGTGCTTCTAGGTAAGCTGCGACGCAGACTTCACGCCATTACCACCGATTTCTCCTCACGCGCTTCGACTACGCGTCGTTACGATTCTCTCATTGTCTGCGCTTTTCCCGCTGTGCATGAGTCGTCGCTCTCTCCTCGCGTTCCTGTCATTTCCGCGTCAGCCACCAACGGCCGTCCTGTCTTGTCGCACTGCCCCGTCTTCGCTCGCTCATGTCATGTCTTGTGGCCTTTCTCCGCTCCGCCATGCACTCGATCCCACTGGCCACCCGCGCTTTCCCGCTTTCCTTGCTTGTGAACCTCATTCTGGGTCTCATGCTCCATTTTCCTGCAGCCGTCAATCCATCTTCCTGTCGACCAGCATCCTTCTGCCGTCATCTCACCCGTTCAGCCGTCATCCCGCCGGCGTCCCGCAATGGGCATCGCGCGCACGTGGAACGTGGAGTCGACGGTCAAGGTCGCCTTCGCCGTGGTCGTCGGCAGCACGCTCGTCAGCTCCTACCTCTACGCGGTGAGCTCTTCTCCCCCCGCGACATACGCGCACAACGCATTCATGCATTGTCGCCTGTGCGAGGATGTCCCTTGTGATCGCTGCAGGCGTGTGGCTGCTTCTTGGATGGCCTGTTTTGTCTTATGCGTGCGACAGGCACTTGCTTATGTCAACCACATGGGTGGACACAAAAATGACGCCATACTGCGTTTGAACGTGATTCATTTCTGCCGCGTGTGCACCTCTCCATTAATCCCCCCCATCGCCAGGTTACCAGGCTGATCACCTGCATTCAGTAGCCCCCTCACTCACCTCTCCCATCCACCCACCCATGCTCTCGCCCCCCTCATCTGTTCAGAGCAAGTTGAAGGCGCAAGCAGCAACAGGAGCAGCGAAGAAGTGACAAGGCACAGAATGGACAGCAGCATTGTGTGTGCATGCGTGGTGGTTCCCTATTCCTGTGGCCCCCTCCAAGGGTCGATCACCACCATGAAGCATCGTGTGCCCTGCCCTCTCCACATTCATTCCCGCAGCCAGTCTCCGTTTCTCTGCTCCGTTCTGTATTGCAAATAGTCGCTTGACATTAGAGAAGCGAACCATACCGGTACTGCTTATTGCTGACAGAACACGCATTGCTAAAGGCAACTTGTGCTGAATTAGGCAAGAAGCTATTAAGTGGACAGCCACAAGCAGCGAGCCATAGTCACAAATCTACTCTAGGTGGAACGTGAAAGTCTGCTGGATGGAAGCAGCACGACTGCTGAGCTGCTGCTGCTGTAGGTGGCGGCCAGGTGGTAGGCTGTATGGCACTGCTTGTGCCACAACAAGTCATCACCGCAGCTTGTGTGCCAATATGTGTGCCACTGTGTGTGCCACTGTGTGTGCCACTGTGTGTGCCACTGTGTGTGCCAGTCAGCACAGCAGCATGCACCACTGCTGATGCAGATGCAAGTACCATGCCAGACTCCTCATCCTCCTCATCCTCCTCGTCGTCTTCATCCTCCTCTCCCCCCCACACATCACTCCCCAGCTCCCCATCCCCACCATACCCCACGTCACTGCCATACCCCGAGTCCCCTCCGCTCTGCCCCTCACTCCCCACCCGCCCGCTGCGCCTCTCCTCCCCCACGCGCCCCTGCTCCTGCTCCCACGGCCCCTCCCTCGCCCATGCCCCCTCTCTCGCCCACTCTCTCCCCAGCGCCTCCCCCTCCACTATGCTCCTGGGCGTGCTGAGCGCTGCTGTCCCCCGCCTGGTGGAGTGCAGCAGAGGGGAATGGCGAGGCACGGCACGGGGAAGTCAGGGAGAGAGGGTGCAAGTGAGGCAAGGAAAGGCGACAGAAAGGGATGGAAAGGAAAGGAAAGCGACGGGAGGGAGGGGCAATGAAAGGTAGGGAAGGAAGGAAGGGAGCACGTTGCGGAAGGGAGAAGCAAGGCTTGCCTTTACTGCCATCAACGTTCCCAACAACAAAGGATGAACAAAGTGGGCGCTGAAAATATTATGTGGGGAAGAGGGTGGAACATTCTGACAGAATGAGAGCAGGAGTGCAGTGCCCACCTGTCTCGTGCCCCTTGTGGCAGGTCAAGCCCCGTGCTGCTGCTGCTCACATACCCCCCTCCCCCAGGACCCACCGCCACCTGCCCGCCCTCCTCCCACCCCTCCTCCACACTCCCCCTCTGCCTCCACCCATCCATACCCGCCCCTCCACCCCCACCTTTCCCGACGCGCCCACCACACCTGCCCGCGCCCCCGTGTGACCCCCTGGCAGCAGCACAGCGCCGGCTGCTGCTGCGCCCCGCCTCCACCCGCTGCTGTCTTGCCGGCCTCACAGCCCCACGCGCCCCGTGCTGCTGCCGTGTGGGACGGCACGAGCCGGCAGGGCGCGAGTGGCCGTAGTACAGCTCGCCACTCGCTCGGCTCACGTGCTTCCCGCCACCCGCCTGTCGCCCGCTGCTCCCACTGCTCCCGCCCTTCAACGCACCACCACCACCACCAGCAGCGGCAGCAGGAGCAGCAATAGGCGAGGCTATGTGCGGTACAGGGGAGTTCCTGCCGGCATCGGAGCTCCTACACAGCTCGGATAGAGGATGGGCATCGGAGAGACGATCGCGGTCAGAGAGGGAGGGAGAGGGCGGCACGACAGGCTGGTCAGAGAGCAGGGCAGTGGGGTCGGATAGCACAGCAGCACTGGCGGAGGCTGAGAGGGAGAGGGAGGGAGCGAGGGGGTCGGAGGCACATGAGGTGTCGCATGGGGCTGGTGCTGCCGGGTCGCTGCTTTCGCATGGCATTGCTGCCGCATCGCTGCTGTGGCCGCCCACCACTGCCACTCCCACCCTGCCTTGCACTGCCTGCACACTGCACCGCCGCCTCTTTCGAAGCTGCACATGGTGATGCCGAGTGGGAGGGGGGAGAGGGGAGGATGTTAGCATTCCAAGATGTGCACTAAGGCACACGGTGGTGGGCACTAAGGCACACGGTGATGGGCACTAAGGCACACGGTGGTGGGCACTAAGGCACACGGTGATGGGCACTAAGGCACACGGTGATGGGCACTAAGGCACACGGTGATGGGCACTAAGGCACACGGTGATGGGCACTAAGGCACACGGTGATGGGCACTAAGGCACACGGTGATGGGCACTAAGGCACACGGTGATGGGCACTAAGGCACACGGTGATGGGCACTAAGGCACACGGTGATGGGCACTAAGGCACACGGTGATGGGCACTAAGGCACACGGTGGTGGGCACTAAGGCACACGGTGGTGGGCACTAAGGCACACGGTGATGGGCACTAAGGCACACGGTGATGGGCACTAAGGCACACGGTGATGGGCACTAAGGCACACGGTGATGGGCACTAAGGCACACGGTGATGGGCACTAAGGCACACGGTGATGGGCACTAAGGCACACGGTGATGGGCACTAAGGCACACGGTGATGGGCACTAAGGCACACGGTGATGGGCACTAAGGCACACGGTGATGGGCACTAAGGCACACGGTGATGGGCACTAAGGCACACGGTGGTGGGCACTAAGGCACACGGTGGTGGGCACTAAGGCACACGGTGATGGGCACTAAGGCACACGGTGATGGGCACTAAGGCACACGGTGATGGGCACTAAGGCACACGGTGATGGGCACTAAGGCACACGGTGATGGGCACTAAGGCACACGGTGATGGGCACTAAGGCACACGGTGATGGGCACTAAGGCACACGGTGATGGGCACTAAGGCACACGGTGATGGGCACTAAGGCACACGGTGGTGGGCACTAAGGCACACGGTGATGGGCACTAAGGCACACGGTGATGGGCACTAAGGCACACGGTGATGGGCACTAAGGCACACGGTGATGGGCACTAAGGCACACGGTGATGGGCACTAAGGCACACGGTGATGGGCACTAAGGCACACGGTGATGGGCACTAAGGCACACGGTGATGGGCACTAAGGCACACGGTGATGGGCACTAAGGCACACGGTGATGGGCACTAAGGCACACGGTGATGGGCACTAAGGCACACGGTGATGGGCACTAAGGCACACGGTGATGGGCACTAAGGCACACGGTGATGGGCACTAAGGCACACGGTGATGGGCACTAAGGCACACGGTGATGGGCACTAAGGCACACGGTGATGGGCACTAAGGCACACGGTGATGGGCACTAAGGCACACGGTGATGGGCACTAAGGCACACGGTGATGGGCACTAAGGCACACGGTGATGGGCACTAAGGCACACGGTGATGGGCACTAAGGCACACGGTGATGGGCACTAAGGCACACGGTGATGGGCACTAAGGCACACGGTGATGGGCACTAAGGCACACGGTGATGGGCACTAAGGCACACGGTGATGGGCACTAAGGCACACGGTGATGGGCACTAAGGCACACGGTGATGTGCACTAAGGCACACGGTGATGGGCACTAAGGCACACGGTGATGGGCACTAAGGCACACGGTGATGGGCACTAAGGCACACGGTGATGGGCACTAAGGCACACGGTGATGTGCACTAAGGCACACGGTGATGGGCACTAAGGCACACGGTGATGGGCACTAAGGCACACGGTGATGGGCACTAAGGCACACGGTGATGGGCACTAAGGCACACGGTGATGGGCACTAAGGCACACGGTGATGGGCACTAAGGCACACGGTGATGTGCCTTTCAATCTCTTCATATGCCTCACCTGCCTCCCCACCTTTCAATCTCTTCATATGCCTCACCTGCCTCCCCACCTTTCAATCTCTTCATATGCCTCACCTGCCTCCCCACCTTTCAATCTCTTCATATGCCTCACCTGCCTCCCCACCTTTCAATCTCTTCATATGCCTCACCTGCCTCCCCACCTTTCAATCTCTTCATATGCCTCACCTGCCTCCCCACCTTTCAATCTCTTCATATGCCTCACCTGCCTCCCCACCTTTCAATCTCTTCATATGCCTCACCTGCCTCCCCACCTTTCAATCTCTTCATATGCCTCACCTGCCTCCCCACCTTTCAATCTCTTCATATGCCTCACCTGCCTCCCCACCTTTCAATCTCTTCATATGCCTCACCTGCCTCCCCACCTTTCAATCTCTTCATATGCCTCACCTGCCTCCCCACCTTTCAATCTCTTCATATGCCTCACCTGCCTCCCCACCTTTCAATCTCTTCATATGCCTCACCTGCCTCCCCACCTTTCAATCTCTTCATATGCCTCACCTGCCTCCCCACTTTTCAATCTCTTCATATGCCTCACCTGCCTCCCCACCTTTCAATCTCTTCATATGCCTCACCTGCCTCCCCACCTTTCAATCTCTTCATATGCCTCACCTGCCTCCCCACCTTTCAATCTCTTCATATGCCTCACCTGCCTCCCCACCTTTCAATCTCTTCATATGCCTCACCTGCCTCCCCACCTTTCAATCTCTTCATATGCCTCACCTGCCTCCCCACCTTTCAATCTCTTCATATGCCTCACCTGCCTCCCCACCTTTCAATCTCTTCATATGCCTCACCTGCCTCCCCACCTTTCAATCTCTTCATATGCCTCACCTGCCTCCCCACCTTTCAATCTCTTCATATGCCTCACCTGCCTCCCCACCTTTCAATCTCTTCATATGCCTCACCTGCCTCCCCACCTTTCAATCTCTTCATATGCCTCACCTGCCTCACCTGCCTCACCTGCCTCACCTGCCTGCCCTCCTTCCCCCGCCATGTGCCCCGCGCTGCCCCCGCTGCCATCTGTCCCACACCCCTGCCTGCTGCACTGCCGCCTTCCTCCGAGCTTTCACTCACCTCCCCGCCCCCCCGCACAGCCATTCTGCACCCCGCCCACTCCGCCGCCCCACCTTTCTCCTCCAGAATCAGCATCCCTTCACCTCCCCACGCACCCCACGCCCCTCCTCCGCCTGCCTCCCACCCGCCAGCACCAGCACCAGGCGTGCCTCTCTCCCCCTCCTCACCTTCCTCCTCCCTCTCCTCCTCCTCCTCCTCCTCCTCCTCCTCCTCCTCCTCCTCCTCCTCCTCCTCCTCCTCCTCCTCCTCCTCCTCCTCCTCCTCCTCATCCCCCTCTCCCCCTTCCTCCACCTCCGCATGGTATTCGCTGCTGTCGCTCCCTCCATCCCCTACAAACACCTCCCGCCCCGCCCTCTTGCGCCCACACACCTGCCTCCCCTCTGCCGCTCCCACCAGCATGCCGCCTGCCCCCTCACTCTCCCGCCCCCCGTCCTCCCCCTCTGCTGTTCCGTGCCCCTTACCGCTGCTGCCACTACCCAACTCCGCAACCCACGCATCCTCACCAATCCCCCCAACCCTCCCCCTTTCTCCTTGCAACAAGCCGGCACTCTCCCCTGCCACCGCCACTCTCTGCCTCCTCACCCGCCGCCTCCTCCATCTAGAAGCTCCCAAGCTGCGTCCCTCACCAGCTGGACCATCCACGCAAGCAGCAGGGGCACAACGAGCAGCAAACACAGCAGCAGCATCCCCCGCTGCCCCTGCCCCACTCCCCTCCCCTGCTTCCGCTGCCTCACCCCTGCCCGCCCTCCCTCCCCCTCCCTCCCTCCGCCCGTCTCCTCGCCCCTCGCCCTCCCCATGCGGCGCCTTCCACTCACCTCCCCCACGCCCCAACTCCTCCCCACTGCCCTCCGCGCCCTCGCCTCGCCTTCGCGCCTCTGCCCGCGTGGACGGCGACCTCCGCCTTCCCACCGCCCCACTGCGCCTCGCCTTTGGCGGCCCCATGCTGCCTGCGTTGCTGCCTGCGCCATTGCCTCTAGTGACACCATTAACACCGTTGCCATCGCTGCTGCCGCTGCAACGCACCCACATCTCGCCACCCACTGCCCCACCAATGCCTGTCTTACCCGCCTCACCTGACTCGCCCGCCTCACGACTCTCGTCTGTGAGAGTGGCGAATCCAACACGCCAATTGCCACTGCTGTGCGCCCAGCAGCCGTCGCGAGCACCACCACGCGCACCCCCACCCCCAGCCCCAGGCCCACGTGCACTTGCAAGCCCATGTGCATGCCCATGCCGCCCTCCCCCACTGCCCGGCCGCACTGCTCGCCGGGCTGCCTGCTGCTCCAGTGCATGCCAGCTCTCGTCCGAGCTGCCTCCGGACCACCCTGACACGCGCACGCCTCTGCCTCGGAAATTCAACTGAGCCTCATGCTCCGGCTTGGCAAGCTCCGCCGTCCCAGGCCTCCGAGCTGCGGCACAGGTGGGGCCCACTGCTGCAGCTGTGGTGTGAACGCTAAGCGGGGCGTTGAAGGCGGCGGGGCAGCGCCACGCCTTTCCGTGCGCCTGCAGCGTCTGCGCCGCGCGCACCTCCTCGCAGCTGCTCGCTCCCCGCCCCCCCGCGCCCCCATCCTCTGTTTCCTCTGTCCAATACGCCCCCTCCGCCCCCTTCCCTTCACCGCGCCCGGCCTCGTCGCGCTCATCCACGGACCTCTCCGCCGCCGCCGCGGTGAAATTTCCGCGCGCGGGCTCTGCAACGCCCTCCGCCTGCCCGAACGGGCTCCACGCGCCCAGGCGGTCCAGGCACGACGCCAGCTTGCGCTGCGCGCGCCGCCGAGCGGACGCCCGCCCGCGATGACTCGCGCGCGGGGCGGCGGCGAGGGGGTCCGCGGGCGGAGGAAGGGCGAAATCCACTGCCGCGGGTTGCGCCATGGGGGAGCGGGGCGGTGATGGAGGGGCGGCGGGGCTTAGCAGAGCGCGCTGCGCTGAGGGGCCGCGCTTTGCCTTCTGACGGAGCCAGCGACTCCCGGCGCGTCCGCGATGCCCGGGCGCAACAGTCACGAGGGTCGTGAAGTCGCGCGGCAATCCTTCGCACCCGGCGCAGGAGCGAAAACTGCCGCCTCCGCTCTCGACAATGCGGGCGTGATGACGAGAGAATCTTAATCCCAGAACGAGTAAGTTGAGGGGCGTTATAACCCGCTGCAATCCGCGCTGTAGCTGTTAATGCAAGCACATGGCTCACTACGCGGCTTGTGGCGGAGCTGAGATACGAGAGGAGGAAGAGGCCTCGCTAGGCAAACTCAGCTGGCTGCACATGAACCAGATCAGTTCGCGCACACAACCACCCCCTTTCTGAACCAAGTAACCACACTCTCGCCAAGCTCACGCGAACAGCCCACGCGCCACCCACATAGTGGGTTCGCTTGCGAAGGTGAGTGTATTTGGCACTCAATTCATTGCGAAACTGGTTGGGCGAAGTGTCGTGTGTTACTCACAGCGAAGTACCTGAAGTATTTTCAAACCACTTAGGGCGCGTAACTTTCTCTTTTGGTCAAATGTCCTGACGGAGCCCCCAAACCGGTCGGACGGAGCTCCGTCCGTACGTTTGGGATTCAGGTCCGGACGGTAGGGTGTCTGGACCTCAAATGTATAAACTTTTTTGCTTTTACGAAATTTGAAATACTTGCGATGTATAACGCGCATTACACAAATCGCTGGCGCGTCGCCTACATCGCCAAACAGCAACGAAGTGTTCAATTGCGCAAGAGGGAAATCGAGTTGCCAGGTTCGCAGAAAACTGATTTTCGTGCGCCAATGGCATGAGAGGAGAATCGGACGGTCCGTAAGGCTGTCTGGACGGTGTCAGCAAGGTAGAACGGACGAAGCGTAGTCAGAAAAGTGTCAGTTTGGGTCCGGTCAGTTGCGACGTCGCGAGAGTTCTAACGAGGTCATTAACGAACTCTTGCGATCTTTGTAACCCTACAAAAGTCCGGACGGGCCTCCGTCCGAACGATCGAAAGGGAAAAGGTTACGCACCCTTAGGATGTTTTCTGTCTGTCTGTCTTAGAATTCCCCAACCCCAAAACCATTTCTGTGGGTCACTAGGGTGTGCAAGGTTCGAACTGATTTCTGGAGATTTCATTCTCGAGAAAATTGAACTTGAGCCATCACCATTCTACCTCTTCACCTGCAGCTTGTCCATTTTCGTACGAGTTTTGGAACCGAACTCCCACCTTACCCAACCGTTCCTTTTTCCAGCAAAACACCTTCCCGTCAGGAGTGTATGAAGGTACCGTCAGTGCCCAGCCCCAGCCACAATCAGGCAGTAGCTGTTTGACCTAATAATATTGGCAGAAGTGCGTTCTTTCCAGACATTAGCTCAAAATACCTTTACTGTCAGTTTTGTGGTTCAGATATCATGCCTCGCTCGTAGATCAACAACCTATTAGACGATCTCCTCGTTTACATATTATGGCACTCCAAGAAAGATGTCCCAATTCGTCGCCTGCATGCATCCAAGATCCGTGGACTTCATCCATCCGTTCACATCTTGCGTCCACCAAGGTACTCCTCCGACAGCCCCTACGGCGACGACCTCAACACATTCGAAGCATCTTCGCCCATGTCCTCCCTGCAGCGGAACAACGATGATACCTCTAGTGCTACAAATACTAATAGCACTACACCGTTGTCAGCTCCCACCTTCTCATCGCGTCCGTTTGCAAGCGATGGCGTCGCCTGGCTCGCCTTCAGGTCTCAATGCTCCTCGTGAAGGAAAACATCGCCGTTTCTCTCCAAGATCTCATTGCTGCCATCAAGTGCTTCCCGAACCTCTCACACCTGCACCTAAGCGACAACAGCGTAGAGACAATCAGCGACGCGTTCCTCGATTTCCTCGGTTCCTCATGCCCCAAACTGGTGTCGCTGCACGTGGGGAAAGATATCGCGCCGACGGCGGAACATGAGAGTGAAGACAAGCACCCGGTGACCGAGGCTGGTTTGGACCGCTTCCTGCGCCGCTGCACTCAGCTGCAGCACCTCTCGCTCTACTGCCTGCATCGATACTCCAAGCTGCCAGATTCTCTCTCGCTGCTCACCAACCTACGCACCCTCGCTCTCACTGAGACATCACCTCTCGAGGCTCCAGGATTCACGAAATTGACTTCCCTCACCGCCCTCTCTGTCGACATGATTCCACAGAAAGAAGGTCTGAATCTCGCGAGCCTCGCGCATCTCCCGGCGTTCACCACCCTTGCACTGTTCGACTACGCATGGCTGAAATTAGAAGTCGCCGGCTCTCAACCCTTTTCATTGGCCCAGTTGCCCTGGCTGAAAGCGGAGAAGTTCGACGCGCGCAAGCCGCGATTTGAGTCGATGTTTCCGTCGGGAGTCTCGTTCAGCCGTCTCGAGCGGCTGCTTCTTAAAGGGTACAGTTTCAGCGAGACGGCACGTCTTCCTGATCACATTGGACACCAGTTTCCACGCCTTCGGCATCTGAGCATGTGGGGATGGAACAATATTTCCGAGCTGCCCGAACAGTTCGCATCCCTAAGCTGCCTGCGTGACCTGACGATTTTCTCATGCGACATGGTCAGCCTGCCCGAAAACGTTGGAGAGCTGCCCGCATTGAAAGCGCTGACGCTGAACAGCCAGCCGATTTCGAGTCTCCCAGATTCGTTCCACCAGCTGACGTCTCTGGAAACCCTCTCTCTGTCTTACTGCAACGCAATCTTTGAGCTGCCTGCAAGGTTCGGTTTCCTCACCGCACTCAACTCCCTCTTCATCCTCAACTCGCCGAACCTGAAGCTTCCAGACGATATAGGCTCTCTCACCAACCTCCACACCTTCCGTCTAAGAGAGAATTCCCCCCAGCAGCTGCTGCCATCCTCGTTCACGCAGCTGTCCTCCCTGACAAGTCTCGAGCTCACAGAGTGCATGGTAGCAGAACTTCCACAAGACTTGGGGAAGCTGAGGAACCTGCGGGAGTTGACCGTCCAGTCTTGCTCCAAGATTCAGCAGCTTCCAGATTCTCTCACTTACCTTGTCAATCTGAAGGTTCTGAAAGCTATGGACTGCCACAGCCTTACTGCAATCCCCACCAGCTTGAGCAACCTTAGAAGGCTCAAAGAGTTGGTTCTAGCCAAGGTCCCCCAGCTTTCACAAGTATCAAGGTCTCTGCCCCGCTCCCTTAAGTTCTTTCCATAGGGAGTTTCCAGCGGCTCACCCCTCTGCTGGAGCTTCCTTCTCTGCCCAGGCTGAGAAGAATTAGCTTAACTTGTGTTGGGCACATGCGGGAACTGGCTCAAGGCATGACCCTCCCTTCACTGGAGCATTTGGAGCTAACGTTAGCTGGAGAGGCAGATGACCTTCCATTGCCTCTGGAACTTCTTACCAACCTCTGCAGCTTGACACTCCACAGCACTGGTTGCATGGAGAAGCTTCCTGAAGGGTTTGGTTCTGCATTGCGGCAGCTGAGGCGGTTGCAGATACTGGTACACGGGGGTGCAGAGTTAACGGAGCTGACAGATAGTTTCACCGACCTTCAATCCCTGACATCTGTTGAGATCCATACACCTAAGCTTGCCTTTCTTCCGCACGGCATCGGGGCGTTATCTTGACTGCACCAGCTGAATCTTGATAAGTGTTCATCGCTCACCCACCTCCCTGCTTCTCTCACCCAGCTTTCCTGCCTGCATGCTTTGAACCTTCGCCGCACGCCCATACGCTCCCTGCCTCGTCACTTTGGGCAACTGAGCCGGCTTAAAGAGCTTAATCTTGATGGCTGCAGGCAGCTGGCTTCTCTGCCTGAGGACCTCTCCCACCTTAAGATGCTTCACAGCTTGACTGATGAAGGTTGTGACGAACTTGAAGCTCAAGCTATGGAAAGAATGTATGGGCTGTCTGCATACCTCTCATAATGGTTTTTAGTTAGGTGTACGGGCAGGGGAGGAAGGAATGTTTAGATGCTATGGAAATGGCTGGGTGCATGCATCCCTGGTTGCTTGCTAATGGCAAACCTACTCGAGCTGGAAACATTGTCTACTTCAAATGTGTTGTACTGCTAAGGATGTATTTATTCCACAACGAAATATTTCCATACAGCCCATGATGATGTTTACATGTATGGCACACTCACACTGCACCACAAAAATGTATAGCATGACTGCTGTAGGTACAAAGGTTTGTATGTCAGCGTTTCCGCTTCTTCTTCGCCCCCACAACCACTTCTCTCACGATATCTCGCCACAACCCATCCACCACGCCCTCCTGCCCTGCCCGCACCCACATCCTCATCTCCGCCCTCAGAAACTCCCCATCACACTCCCACGCCGCCCTCAGCTTCCCCTTGCTATCAACAGGCCCTCTCACACCTTCCCCTCCCCTACCACTGCTCTCACCACTTCCCCCTGCCCCTTTCCCTCCCACTCTTGTCACCCCCACCATCAACATATGCACCAAGTCAGCTGCCCTCCTCTGCCCCAACCCCTCCGGCCGCAACAAGCTCGTAGGGTTACCAGCCAGCAACCCTTGTAACCGCTTCATCGCTCCCACCACCTGCCCCTGCAGCAGCGCGCATGCGAACACAGCAGCCCGCTCCCTGCTCCCTTCCAAGTCCACTGTGCAGGCCGGCAGAGGCCACCGCTTAGGCCCATACACAGCCGCCACCGTCGCGAGAATCCGGTCTGAGGGGGGGTGGTAGCGGGGCGGCGGGTCGGGGAGTGGCTTGGAGAGAGAGCAGAGCGCGGGGCAGGAGGAGGGGAGCCAGGCAGGGTCGACAGCCGTGGTGGTGACGAGGAATGGGTGGGACTCTGTTTGACCGATTTCATTGAAGAGCAGCAGAGGTGGCGCCGAGCGGAAGGTGGCGCTGCGTGGGTGCAGCAGCACTGGCTCGTCCATGAACAGTGTCTCGTACCGCACGGCACGTTTCGGCAGGGAGTGAGCGGCACCACCAGGAGCACCACCAGCAGCACCTGCTGCTGCTGCGGCGGGCCTGTCACCGGGTGCCATTTTCCTCGCCAGGCGGTCGGGCCAGCCAGCCGCAAGGCCCCTTCGAATCAGCCCTTCCTCCCACTCCGTCAACTGTGGCTCCACCCGCCCCTACCTATCCCCCCTTCTCCCTTCCCACATCTGCTCTCCACACTCCACAAGAAGAGTGAGCGGCACGGATGCGGTGGGGCCGGAAGGGGAGGAGGCGGAAGGGGCGGAAGGGGAGGAGAGGGCGTGGGAGAGGAAGGAGTGCAGGAGGTGGGCGCGGGTGCCTGTGAGGAGCAGGCGGGACAGCTGGTGGGCGAGCTGAGACATCTCCCTCAAGCACCGCTCCCTCAGGTAGAACCGCTGGCAGAACAGCTCCCCCGCTCCCCCCCATCCCCCTGCGCCCCCTTTGCCCCCACTTTTCCTGCTCTCCTGCCCCCCCTTGCCCGCCCGCACAGCAGCGTCGTAGGCTCGCAGGGCGTTGGCGGCCGTGATGGCGTCGCTGCTGCGGCTCCAGAAGAGTGCATGCGCTGCCCGCCGACTCAACGCCCCACCGTGGGATGATGCACCCTTGCTGCCATCACCCTGGCTTGCACCACCTTGATTACTCATGCCACTGCCACTGCCACCACCACCATCCACACCTGTCCTTGCTTCTCCCTCTCCTCGCCCGCCATTCCCCCCGTCACCTCTCCCACCCACCCCCCCACCATCCCCATGGCCCGCTGTGCCCGTGTCATCATCACGCAGGAAGGGGCTCTCCACGCTCATAGCAGCCACCACAGCTATCCCATACCGCACCACCAGAGAACTCACCCTCCCCACCTCCCCCTCCCCCCCCCTTTCCTCCTCCACAGCACCCTCGCCCTCTCTCTGAGTCTGGCTGCTGCCACACTCCACACCCCCACCCTCCTCACCTCCACCCCCTTCCATATACCTCCTCTTCCCTTTCTTTCCTCCCACCCCTCCCCTACCCTCCTCCTCCCTCTGGCCCCGTGCTTCTTCTGCCCCTACCTTGCTACTTGTTCTGCCACCTGTCAGATCCGCCAGAGGAACCTTCATGGCAGCTTCGAGCAGGATGGCTAGCAGGGTGCGTGCATGGCGAGGGCTGATCGGAAGGCAGGCCATGGCGCGACCCAGAGGGGTGATGGTGGGGGAGGGGGAGGCGGAGGGGGAAGGGGAGGGGGAGGCTGGTGGCGGGAGGGCGGAGAGGTGTTGCAGGCAGCGCAGGGCGGAGGCGAGAGATTGGGGTTCGGGGGGTGTGGGGAAGGGGAAGTTGAGAACCTGGGAGGCGTTGGGAGGGGGCCGGAAGAAGAGGGAGTGGAAAAGGTGAGAAATGCATTGGGAAAGCATCATGCCCTATGCCCCATACCGCATGATCTATGAACCATAATGCTTCATACCTTGTTGATAATGCTTCATACCTTGTTGATAATGCTTCATTCCACATGCCTCATCCTTCATGTGCTCCCTCATGGCAATGAGTGCACCTTATCCATGCCCATATCCTTCAAAACACCTTATCAATGCACATGCCCTTCACCTCATCTTATCAATGCGATGCGCACACCCTTCTTCTCACCTTATCAATGCCCTTACCCTTCTTCTCACCTTATCAATGCCCTTACCCTTCTTCTCACCTTATCAATGCCCTTACCCTTCTTCTCACATTATCAATGCCCTTACCCTTCTTCTCACCTTATCAATGCCCTTACCCTTCTTCTCACCTTATCAATGCCCTTACCCTTCTTCTCACCTTATCAATGCCCTTACCCTGTGTCTCACCTTATCAATGCCCTTACCCTTCTTCTCACCTTATCAATGCCCTTACCCTTTGTCTCACCTTATCAATGCCCTTACCCTTTGTCTCACCTTATCAATGCCCATACCATTCACCCCGACTTATCAATACCTATACCCTTCACACCAGCTAATCACTGTGCGTGCGCCCCACCCTGCCTGCCCTCATGGCCCATGCACCACACTTCCTCTCACCTTATCGATGCCCATACCCTTCATTGCACCTCACGCACGCCTCAGAACCCTTCACCTCACCTTATCGATGCCCATGGCCTTCATCTGCAGCACCACGCCCTCAATGGGCGTCCTCTCGATCTCCGCCTGCCCAAACGCCTCAAACTGGTTGGCAAAGACCGCGCTGGAGAACAGCCGGTAGCACTGCCCCGGCCCCGTGCGCCCCGCCCTGCCTGCTCGCTGGTCCGCTGAGGCCCGCGAGATCCACTCCACTGTGAAGCGCGCCAAGCCCGCCCCCCCTGTGTGCTGCTTCACCTTGGCCCGCCCAGTGTCCACCACGTAGCATATGCCTGCAAAGGAGTAGAGGAGGTGGGGGGGAGTTTGGGTTGGGGGGACAGTGAAAGGCACCGGAAAGAGGGGTGATCATTGTGACGCAGTTAACTTGTAGGCACCTGATTTGCTGAAATCACCAGTTTTGTTCCGACTCCCTGATCTGTACAATCACCTTATTTGTTCCAGTCACCTGATCTGTTGACATCACCTGATCTGTTGCAATCATCTCATTTGTTGCAATCACCTGATCTGTTGCAATCACCTGGGATGGTAATGGAGGTCTCAGCAACGTTGGTAGCAACCACCACCAGGCGGCACCCCTCCGGCACCGCTCCGAACACCTTCAGCTGCTGGGCGGCAGGCAGCATGGCGTACAGCGGCAGCACATACATGCCGCCCGGCCCCGCCTGCTCCCCCTTGCCGCCCAACCCTGCCTCTTCGACCTTGCCGGGGGGGAAGGCGCCATTGCCAGGCCCCGAACCCCCTCCTGCCGTCTCAGCTGTCCCTGCTACCTCCTCGGCACCTGCTTCCCCAACTGCCCCTGTCTGCTGTGTCTCCCCACCCTCGCACTTCTCCCCACCCAGCAGACCCCACGTTTCCCACTCCTCCTCCTCATCCTCCTCTTCGTCCTCCTCATAGTCATCTCCCCCCTCCTCGCCCTCATACTCTCCCCCTTCCACCACTGCCTCCCACTCCGCCTCCTCCTCCTCCCCATCCCTCACGCCACCCACGGCCTCCTCCCCTTCTCTCGCCGCCTCCCCATCCCTCACTTCCCCCTGCCTCCCACTGCCATCCTTCTCTGTTCCCCCTCCGCTCTCCAGCCGGACAATGGCATCCAGGTTTGCATCGGGCTCGCCCTGCTGCTCCGCACCCAAACCATTTGCCTCTCCTCCCTCTTCCCCCTCACCACCATCCTCTCCCTCCACCTCCTCCCCCTTACCCCCCATCCTCGTCTTCCCTTCCCCGCCCATTTTCTTGCCCCCTCTACCATCCCCGCCTGTCACCGCATCCCTGCCCCCAGTTCCCCTTCCCCCGCCCCCCCGGCCCCCACCCGTGCTGCTCCCCCGCCCCCCCCTTCCTCTATCCCCACCTTCCCCCCTCCTCTGCCCCCCCACCTTCATCGGAAACTTCTTCCGAAGCTTCCTGCAAAGGTCCTCCACCTCCCGCTGCCCGGTCAGAAACACCAAAACTCCCCCAGGGGGCAGCTTCCGATGGATCGCCGAAACTTTTTTCTCAGCTGCCCGGACGTAATCCACGAGCTCGGTGCGACGGGCAAAGTGAACGGTGACGGGGAATTGTCGGGCAGGCACGGAAACCACAGGGGGAGGGCCCGCTGGAAAGAGGCGCGAGTTGAGAGTGAAGTCTGAGATGCGGAGAGTGGCGCTCATAATGATGAGCTTCAGAGGAGGCGGGGCTGAGGAGGGTCGACCGGCCGCCTTCGCTTCCTCGTGGAGTTTCTGTGGAGTGACGGAAGTGAATAGAAGGGGAGGAGGCGGGTGTTGGGAGAGGAGCAAGGGAGAGGAGCAAGGGAGAGGAGCAAGGGAGAGGAGCAAGGGAGAGGAGCAAGGGAGAGGAGCAAGGGAGAGGAGCAAGGGAGAGGAGCAAGGGAGAGGAGCAAGGGAGAGGAGCAAGGGAGAGGAGCAAGGGAGAGGAGCAAGGGAGAGGAGCAAGGGAGAGGAGCAAGGGAGAGGAGCAAGGGAGAGGAGCAAGGGAGAGGAGCAAGGGAGAGGAGCAAGGGAGAGGAGCAAGGGAGAGGAGCAAGGGAGAGGAGCAAGGGAGAGGAGCAAGGGAGAGGAGCAAGGGAGAGGAGCAAGGGAGAGGAGCAAGGGAGAGGTGGGGGGGTAGGGAGCGGTGGGGGGGTAGGGAGCGGTGGGGGGGTAGGGAGCGGTGGGGGGGTAGGGAGCGGTGGGGGGGTAGGGAGCGGTGGGGGGGTAGGGAGCGGTGGGGGGGTAGGGAGCGGTGGGGGGGTAGGGAGCGGTGGGGGGGTAGGGAGCGGTGGGGGGGTAGGGAGCGGTGGGGGGGTAGGGAGCGGTGGGGGGGTAGGGAGCGGTGGGGGGGTAGGGGTGTATGTGGCTTCATCGTGGAGCCGCTTTGGCTTCATCGTGGAGTTTATGTGGAGTGCAGGGTTGTAAGACGAGGGGGAAGAGGTGGGCATCGAGGGTGAAACGTGAGATGTGAAGATGCTTCCGTTGGGTGAAGGGGGCACGGCGTACGAGGTCAAGCGAGAAGGGGGGCGTGGGAGAAGAAGTGGGGGGGGGAAGGCGGGAGAGGGGGACAAGGCGGGAGAAGGGGGACAAGGCGGGAGAAGGGGGCAGGGCAGGCGAGGGGGGCAAGACGGGCGAGGGGAGTGAGGTGTCTGAGCGGGACGAGGCAGGGAGTGGGGGGAGAGGGATGGGGCGGCGGGAAAGAGAGAGTGGGTGCTTGCTGTGATCAAGTGGGACGATCTTGGCACGAGAGAGAGAGAGAGAGAGAGAGAGAGAGAGAGAGAGAGAGAGAGAGAGAGAGAGAGAGAGAGAGAGAGTGCTTTTGAGTCGACTCAGAAAACCGTCGTACAAGTGAGCCAGTGAAACGCCCTTATGTGCATCCGTACTTGGTGCATGTGAGCTAGCGGAACGACCCCGGCAGCCATGGCAGGGAAGAGTGGACCTCCGAGGGCAGCGGGGCAGAGAGCAGCTCGGGCGTTGCTGTGAGGCACACTCGTATGTCCGCGCTCCAGGCACATTATGATGCCAGCAGCGCTTTCCCAGAAGCTTCAGCTTCCTGGTGAGTGTGCCACATGCCTTCTACCTAAGGCCATTCCTGCATGCCCACCCCCACCCACACAGCAGCAGCACCACCCGCCCCCTCCCCTTGGACCCCACCTTCCCCCACTCCCCTCCCCCATCCCCCTCCCAACGTGCCTGGCGGAGAGCAGAGCAGCACCCACCCACCCTCCTGCCCTCCTCCCATCCCTCCCCCACCCCTCCCTCCCCCCCAAACATACCTGGCGGAGGGGCACGATGCGGGAGAGCAAGCCAACGAGGATGTCGGTGTTGGCGCTCCTCTCATGCGCCTCGTCCAGCACCACCGCGCTGTACTGCCGCAGCAGCAGGTCCGCTTGTACCTCCCGTAACAGGATGCCATCTGTCATGATTTTAATGGCCGTGCCGCCCGCCACATGGCGGTCGTACCGAACCTGCAGGTGCACAACAAACGCCCAAACCGCAGCACAACGGTCAACGGTTATGTGTTACATTACAGTAGGGGTAGGGAAAATGTGAGGAGCAGCAACGCGATGACAAAACTTGCGCAGCAAGAAAGAGTGAGCAGCAAGGCAATGACAAAACTTGTTCAGCAAGAAAGAGTGAGCAGCAAGGCAATGACAAAACTTGTTCAGCAAGAAAGAGTGAGCAGCAAGGCAATGACAAAACTTGTTCAGCAAGAAAGAGTGAGCAGCAAGGCAATGTCAGACACGTAGACGCACCTGGTAGCCAACCTCCCGGCCCACTGTGACGCCCATCTCATCCGCTATGCGCTTTGCCGTTGCCAGCACCGCCACCCTCCGTGGCTGGGTCACGGCAATCATGCCGGGTGTGCCCCCTGGGAGCGACGAGCCATACCCCGCCTCGTAAAGAAACTGGTGAGGGTGGAGAGAAATGGAGAAACGGGGAGGGGAGAGGAGGGGAGCGGAGGGGGAGGGGAGTTGGAATGGAGGGGAGGAGAAGAGGATAGGGAGAGGAGAGAAAGAAGCTTTTTGAGGCGTATCAAAATGCGCTTGGTAGTGGGCAGCACTGCCACCCTGCGCACTTGTGTCACCTCACCCTCCTGCGATCCTGCTCTGCTCGCCACACCCCCTGAGAGGCACGAGCCGTTCCTTGCCTTGCAGGGAAAGTCGGGGAGGATGGAGGAGGGGAGTTGGGGAGGGGACGGGAGCAGAAGGGGAGGGGAAGAGAGGAAGGAGAGGGGAAGAGAGGAAGGAGAGGGTGTGAAGAATTGAAAAAGAATGATTAGTTTCATTAGAGAAAAGAACAAGCATACATAGGCTTGGAAGAGAAGGTTGGAAGGGAAAAGGAGGGAGGTGGGATCGGGGGAGTGGACCAACCTATGGCCCATTGGGTTGGGTTGACCACACTTGGGGAAGTGGGCCAACCTATGGCCCATTGGATTGGGTTTGTCAGATTACTATCCTCATTGTAACCTACATCAATCATATAAGCCTAGGTCAGAGATAGACACCCAAACTTAATTTGGGTGTAGAACTAGGGTTAACCCTAGTTGGGGGTTGGATCTCAACCTTGGCCAAATTACTTGGCCCCCAAGGTTGGGTTGGGAATTATTGGTCCCCCAAACAATGTTGAACCACTTGGTCAACATTATTGGTTCCCCAATAATCCCTCAACTCAACTTATTGGTGGGGGGCAATAATGTTGGCTAGGTTCCCAACCAAACCCTTCATCCTAGCACTATGTATACCCCCATACTTTCTAATCAAGCTATCAGTTCTCCTTCACGTTTTCTCACAGGGTTGACCACACTTGGGGAAGTGGGGTTAATCTATGGCTCAATGGGTTGGGTTGGCCTCACTTTGTGAAGTGGGGTTAACCTATGGCCCAATGGGTTGGATTGGCCTCACTTTGTGAAGTGGGGTACCCTATGGCCCATAGAGTTGCATTTGGGGCTCCACCACAATTGGGTTGGATTGGCACCCCAAAATGCAAGACTACACCCAAAGTTGGGTGTAGTCCCAACCCAATTGTACACCACAATTGGTGTACAGTCACAAGTGTTAGCATGCTAGAACATAGAAGTTCTAATAGAGGGGAAGAGGGGCGGGACGGGAGAATGATATTTTTAAGCGCATTTAAAGTCACGCCTTGCCATGGCATAGCTTCCCCCCACTGCCTCCTCCATAACCTCCCTCTCCATCGCCACCACCGGCAGCTCCCCCCCACACCTCATCCCCCTTCTGCCTCCCTCTTGCCTCGCCTGTCTCCCCCCCCCCCCCTGCCTGCCTCTTGCCTCGCCTGTCCCCACGTCCTGCCTGCCCTATGCACCTCCCCTCCCACCCACCCACCATCCACACCCGATGCACCTGTGGCACTTGCGTGGTTTTCCACACCCACAGACAACCACAACATTGCTGCCCCCCTTCCCTTGCCTAGCCACACTTCCCCTCCCCCCCTCACCCTACGCACCTGCGGCACTTGCGTGGTATTTCCCGACCCAGTCTCGCCGTAAAAAAACACGGCATGGCTACTCCCTACCCCCTCCATCACCCCCCCCTCCATCACCTCCCCCTCCATCACCTCCCCCTCCATCACCTCCCCCTCCATCGCCACCACCGGCAGGGCAGCCCTGCCCTCTGTTTCACACCACCACACATTACCCTCCCCCCTTCCTGACCCTACCCAGAGGTATGCAAGGGTAATGTGTGGGGCGCCTACCCACGACGCCCTGTCTACCCCAGGCACCTCCCTTCCCACCCCCACACACCCACCCGCCCCACCCCACGCACCTGGGGCACTTGCGTAGTTTTCCCCGACCCCGTCTCCCCGCACACCAGCACGGCATTGCTGCCCCCCACCGCCTCCATCACCTCCCCTTCCATTGCCACCACCGGCAGCCCCGCCCGCTGCGCCTCTATCTCCTCCCGCCGCTCCACCCGCACCCACAGCTTGCCCCCCTTCTGCTCCGCCTGCGCTCCCTGCTCCGCCTTCCCATCACCCTCCCCACCCAGCTGCGCCTTGCCTTCCTTTTGCTTCCCCTGCTTTCTCTGCTCTGCCTCCACTGCTGCTCCTTGGCTCTCTGCTGCCTGGTGCTGCTCTCCTTCCTCTGCCCTAATGACGTCATCCCTTGCATTTTCCTCCTTCCTGGCAGCTTCGTCATCCTCCATTCTGTGCCCTTCATGTTCGCCCAGCAACCCCTGCCTCTCCACCATTCCCTCGTCCCCCAACTCTTCACCATGTTGCTTCCCCTCATTCTCTCCCTCCTCCCCATCATCGCTATCACTAACCTCTCCCTCCTCTCTGCTTCCCTCTCCTCTGCTTCCCTCATCCCCACTGCTCTTCCTGTCCGTGTCCCTCTTCCCTCCCGTGTCCGTCTCTTTGATCGAACCTTCCCCACCTCTCATGCCCTCTGTACTCATCTCCCCCATCTCCACCCCCACACTATTTCCTCCCTCACCTGCCCCTCCCATCCCTTCCTCTCCTCTCATTACTGCCCCTTCACTCTTCTCGCCCACCCCCCTTTCTTCCCCCTCACCTCCCCCACTCCTCGCCCTCCCCCTCTCATCCTTCCATGCCAACAACCCTTCAACCCTCTCATTCTCACTATCCTCCCCACCCTCCTCCTCACTCCCCTCCGTACTCCCCTCTCCTCGCCCCCCCGTCCGTCTCTCTCGCAGCAGCAGAGCCTGCAAGGCAGCAGGGGGGGTCAGCCCTGCCTCTACAAACGCCTTGGCCCGCTGCACCATCTGCTTGCTGCTGCCAGTCTGAGGAGAGAGAAAGAGGACGAGTAGGGGAGGAAGGGAGGTGCAGGGGGGAAAGAGACGGTAGGGGTGGGGAGCGGTGCAGGGCAGCAGGAGGGGTCAGCCCTGCTTCTACAAACGCCTTGGCGCGCTCAACCTTCTGCTTGCTGCTGCCACCCTGGTGAGGGGTAGGAAAGAGTAGGAGAGGAGGCAAATGGGGGAAGAGGAGGGAAACGGGGGGAGGGAGGGGGGTGGTGGAGTAAGGGTCAGCCCTGCTTCTAAAAACGCCTTGGCGTGCTGCACATTCTGCTTGCTGCTGCCACTCTGAGGAGAGAGAAAGAGGACGACTGGGGGATGGGCGGGAGATGCAGGGGGGAAAGAGATGGAGGGGATGGAGAGAGGTGCCTGCAGGGCAGCTGGGGGGGTCAGCCCTGCCTCTACAAAAGCCTTAGCGTGCTGCATCTTCTGCTTGCTGCTGCCACTCTGATGGAACGGAAAGGAGGAAGGGTCGGGAGGGGAAGAATGGGGAGAGTGTTGTTGCGAATTCTCAGAACCACTCAGCAGTGGCGGAAAGAATGCAAAGAAGGGCTGGGTAGGAAAGAATGGAAGGAGTGTTTTTTCAATACGATTTGACAGATCCACCCAGCACGGGGGGTCAGCCCTGCTTGCTTTGCCACTCGGGGAGGAGGATAGGGCGGGGTCAGGTAGGGTGGAGAAAGAGAGAACGGAGCAGGGTGTGGGGAGGGGAGGCGGGTAAGGGAAGGCGGGTAGGGGAAGGCGGGTAAAGAGGACAGGTATGAGAGGGCGGGTAGGCAGTGGCGGGTAAGGTGTGGGAGGCAGGCGTGCGGCCGGCAGAGCAAGAGGGCAAGGGAAAGAGGTTATCAACAAGAAATATGGAGAGGAGTGGGCCAGGGAAGAGTGGAGGGGGTGAGGGCACAGGAAAAGAGGGGAGGCGGGGGCACACATGCACACCCCCTTCGCACAACCTGCTGCTCTCACACGTCCGCCCATCAACTGCCTCACCTCACTCCCCCACTTCTCCGCCTCCCATTGCCCTCCCATTGCCCTCCCGTCCCCTTGCCCTACCCTTGCCCTACCCTTGCCCTCCACTTGCCATTCCCTGTCCCCCTCTCATCTCTCCTGCCCCCCCAACCCCCCGCACCTGTCCCAACGTGCTGCTGGGTGCCATGAGGTGCAGTGCGGTGGCTGACGCCTCGTGCTGCCTGGGGGGCACCATGGGGAAGGGTCGATGGGGTGTGGCAAGGGGAAGGGGGAGGGAAATGGGGGGATTGGATTGGAGTGACGAGGCGAGAGACGCAGAGTGACATGTGCGAGCAGGCAGTGGGGCAAGCAGGCAGTGGGGCGAACAGGCTGTGGGGCGAGCAGGCAGTGGGGCGAACAGGCAGTGGGGCGAGCAGGCAGTGGAGCGAACAGGCAGTGGGGCGAGGAGGCAGTGGGGCGAAAAGGCAGTGGGGCGAACAGGCAGTGGGGCGAACAGGCAGTGGGGCGAGCAGGCAGTGGGGCGAGCAGGCAGTGGGGCGAGCAGGCAGTGGGGCGAACAGGCAGTGGGGCGAACAGGCAGTGGGGCGAGCAGGCAGTGGGGCGAACAGGCAGTGGGGCGAGCAGGCAGTGGGGCGAACAGGCAGTGGGGCGAGCAGGCAGTGGGGCGAGCAGGCAGTGGGGCGAACAGGTGGTGGGGCGAACAGGCAGTGGGGCGAACAGGCAGTGGGGCGAACAGGCAGTGGGGCGAACAGGCAGTGGGGCGAACAGGCAGTGGGGCGAACAGGCAGTGCGGCGAACAGGCAGTGGGGCGAGCAGGCAGTGGGGCGAACAGGCAGTGGGGCGAGCAGGCAGTAGGGCGAACAGGCAGTGGGGCGAGCAGGCAGTGGGGCGAGCAGGCAGTGGGGCGAGCAGGCAGTGGGGCGAACAGGCAGTGGGGCGAGCAGGCAGTGGGGCGAACAGGCAGTGGGGCGAGCAGGCAGTGGGGCGAGCAGGCAGTGGGGCGTTCAGGGAGTGGGGCGAACAGGCGGTGGGGCGAACAGGCAGTGGGGCGAACAGGCAGTGGGGCGAACAGGCAGTGGGGCGAACAGGCAGTGGGGCGAACAGGCAGTGGGGCGAGCAGGCAGTGGGGCGAGCAGGCAGTGGGGCGAACAGGCAGTGGGGCGAGCAGGCAGTGGGGCGAGCAGGCAGTGGGGCGAGCAGGCAGTGGGGCGAACAGGCAGTGGGGCGAACAGGCAGTGGGGCGAACAGGCAGTGGGGCGAGCAGGCAGTGGGGCGAGCAGGCAGTGGGGCGAAAAGTCAGTGGGGCGAGCAGGCAGTGGGGCGAGCAGGCAGTGGGGCGAACAGGCAGTGGGGCGAACAGGCAGTCGGGCGAGCAGGCAGTGGGGCGAACAGGCAGTGGGGCGAACAGGCAGTGGGGCAAGCAGGCAGTGGGGCGAACAGGCTGTGGGGCGAGCAGGCAGTGGGGCGAACAGGCAGTGGGGCGAGCAGGCAGTGGGGCGAGCAGGCAGTGGGGCGAGCAGGCAGTGGGGCGAACAGGCAGTGGGGCGAGCAGGCAGTGGGGCGAACAGGCAGTGGGGCGAGCAGGCAGTGGGGCGTTCAGGGAGTGGGGCGAACAGGCAGTGGGGCGAACAGGCAGTGGGGCGAACAGGCAGTGGGGCGAACAGGCAGTGGGGCGAACAGGCAGTGGGGCGAACAGGCAGTGGGGCGAGCAGGCAGTGGGGCGAGCAGGCAGTGGGGCGAGCAGGCAGTGGGGCGAGCAGGCAGTGGGGCGAACAGGCAGTGGGGCGAACAGGCAGTGGGGCGAACAGGCAGTGGGGCGAGCAGGCAGTGGGGCGAACTGGCAGTGGGGCGAACAAGCAGTGGGGCGAGCAGGCAGTGGGGCGAGCAGGCAGTGGGGCGAACAGGCAGTGGGGCGAACAGGCAGTGGGGCGAGCAGGCAGTGGGGCGAACAGGCAGTGGGGCGAACAGGCAGTGGGGCGAGCAGGCAGTGGGGCGAGCAGGCAGTGGGGCGAACAGGCAGTGGGGCGAGCAGGCAGTGGGGCGAGCAGGCAGTGGGGCGAACAGGCAGTGGGGCGAACAGGCAGTGGGGCGAGCAGGCAGTGGGGCGAGCAGGCAGTGGGGCGAGCAGGCAGTGGGGCGAAAAGGAAGTGGGGCGAAAAGTCAGTGGGGCGAGCAGGCAGTGGGGCGAGCAGGCAGTGGGGCGAACAGGCAGTCGGGCGAACAGGCAGTGGGGCGAACAGGCAGTGGGGCGAACAGGCAGTGGGGCAAGCAGGCAGTGGGGCGAACAGGCTGTGGGGCGAGCAGGCAGTGGGGCGAACAGGCAGTGGGGCGAGCAGGCAGTGGGGCGAACAGGCAGTGGGGCGAGCAGGCAGTGGGGCGAGCAGGCAGTGGGGCGAACAGGCAGTGGGGCAAACAGGCAGTGGGGCGAACAGGCAGTGGGGCGAACAGGCAGTGGGGCGAACAGGCAGTGGGGCGAACAGGCAGTGGGGCGAACAGGCAGTGGGGCGAACAGGCAGTGGGGCGAGCAGGCAGTGGGGCGATCCGGGAGTGGGGCGATCAGGGAGTGGGGCGAGCAGGCAGTGGGGCGAACAGGCAGTGGGGCGAACAGGCAGTCGGGCGAGCAGGCAGTGGGGCGAACAGGCAGTGGGGCGAACAGGCAGTGGGGCAAGCAGGCAGTGGGGCGAACAGGCTGTGGGGCGAGCAGGCAGTGGGGCGAACAGGCAGTGGGGCGAGCAGGCAGTGGGGCGAGCAGGCAGTGGGGCGAGCAGGCAGTGGGGCGAACAGGCAGTGGGGCGAGCAGGCAGTGGGGCGAACAGGCAGTGGGGCGAGCAGGCAGTGGGGCGTTCAGGGAGTGGGGCGAACAGGCAGTGGGGCGAACAGGCAGTGGGGCGAACAGGCAGTGGGGCGAACAGGCAGTGGGGCGAACAGGCAGTGGGGCGAGCAGGCAGTGGGGCGAACAGGCAGTGGGGCGAACAGGCAGTGGGGCGAACAGGCAGTGGGGCGAACAGGCAGTGGGGCGAACAGGCAGTGGGGCGAGCAGGCAGTGGGGCGAGCAGGCAGTGGGGCGAACAGGCAGTGGGGCGAACAGGCAGTGGGGCGAACAGGCAGTGGGGCGAACAGGCAGTGGGGCGAGCAGGCAGTGGGGCGAACAGGCAGTGGGGCGAGCAGCCAGTGGGGCGAGCAGGCAGTGGGGCGAGCAGGCAGTGGGGCGAACAGGCAGTGGGGCGAGCAGGCAGTGGGGCGAGCAGGCAGTGGGGCGAGCAGGCAGTGGGGCGAACAGGCAGTGGGGCGAACAGGCAGTGGGGCGAACAGGCAGTGGGGCGAGCAGGCAGTGGGGCGAACAGGCAGTGGGGCGAACAGGCAGTGGGGCGAGCAGGCAGTGGGGCGAGCAGGCAGTGGGGCGAACAGGCAGTGGGGCGAACAGGCAGTGGGGCGAGCAGGCAGTGGGGCGAGCAGGCAGTGGGGCGAACAGGCAGTGGGGCGAACAGGCAGTGGGGCGAACAGGCAGTGGGGCGAGCAGGCAGTGGGGCGAACAGGCAGTGGGGCGAACAGGCAGTGGGGCGAGCAGGCAGTGGGGCGAGCAGGCAGTGGGGCGAGCAGGCAGTGGGGCGAACAGGCAGTGGGGCGAGCATGCAGTGGGGCGAACTGGCAGTGGGGCGAACAGGCAGTGGGGCGAACAGGCAGTGGGGCGAGCAGGCAGTGGGGCGAGCAGGCAGTGGGGCGAACAGGCAGTGGGGCGAACAGGCAGTGGGGCGAGCAGGCAGTGGGGCGAGCAGGCAGTGGGGCGAGCAGGCAGTGGGGCGAACAGGCAGTGGGGCGAACAGGCAGTGGGGCGAACAGGCAGTGGGGCGAACAGGCAGTGGGGCGAACAGGCAGTGGGGCGAACAGGCCGTGGGGCGAACAGGCAGTGGGGCGAACAGGCAGTGGGGCGAGCAGGCAGTGGGGCGAGCAGGCAGTGGGGCGAACAGGCAGTGGGGCGAGCAGGCAGTGGGGCGAGCAGGCAGTGGGGCGAACAGGCAGTGGGGCGAACAGGCAGTGGGGCGAGCAGGCAGTGGGGCGAGCAGGCAGTGGGGCGAACAGGCAGTGGGGCGAACAGGCAGTGGGGCGAACAGGCAGTGGGGCGAGCAGGCAGTGGGGCGAACAGGCAGTGGGGCGAACAGGCAGTGGGGCGAGCAGGCAGTGGGGCGAGCAGGCAGTGGGGCGAGCAGGCAGTGGGGCGAACAGGCAGTGGGGCGAGCATGCAGTGGGGCGAACTGGCAGTGGGGCGAACAGGCAGTGGGGCGAACAGGCAGTGGGGCGAGCAGGCAGTGGGGCGAGCAGGCAGTGGGGCGAACAGGCAGTGGGGCGAGCAGGCAGTGGGGCGATCCGGGAGTGGGGCGACCAGGGAGTGGGGTGAACAGGCAGTGGGGCGAACAGGCAGTGGGGCGAACAGGCAGTGGGGCGAACAGGCAGTGGGGCGAACAGGCAGTGGGGCGAACAGGCAGTGCGGCGATCCGGGAGTGGGGCGACCAGGGAGTGGGGTGAACAGGCAGTGGGGCGAACAGGCAGTGGGGCGAGCAGGCAGTGGGGCGAGCAGGCAGTGGGGCGAACAGGCAGTGGGGCGAACAGGCAGTGGGGCGAACAGGTAGTGGGGCGAGCAGGCAGTGGGGCGATCCGGGAGTGGGGCGACCAGGGAGTGGGGCGAACAGGCAGTGGGGCGAACAGGCAGTGGGGCGAACAGGCAGTGGGGCGAACAGGCAGTGGGGCGAACAGGCAGTGGGGCGAACAGGCCGTGGGGCGAACAGGCAGTGGGGCGAACAGGCAGTGGGGCGAGCAGGCAGTGGGGCGAGCAGGCAGTGGGGCGAACAGGCAGTGGGGCGAGCAGGCAGTGGGGCGAGCAGGCAGTGGGGCGAACAGGCAGTGGGGCGAACAGGCAGTGGGGCGAGCAGGCAGTGGGGCGAGCAGGCAGTGGGGCGAACAGGCAGTGGGGCGAACAGGCAGTGGGGCGAACAGGCAGTGGGGCGAACAGGCAGTGGGGCGAACAGGCAGTGGGGCGAACAGGCAGTGGGGCGAGCAGGCAGTGGGGCGAACAGGCAGTGGGGCGAGCAGGCAGTGGGGCGAGCAGGCAGTGGGGCGAACAGGCAGTGGGGCGAACAGGCAGTGGGGCGAACAGGCAGTGGGGCGAGCAGGCAGTGGGGCGAGCAGGCAGTGGGGCGAACAGGCAGTGGGGCGAACAGGCAGTGGGGGAGCAGGCAGTGGGGCGAGCAGGCAGTGGGGCGAGCAGGCAGTGGGGCGAGCAGGCAGTGGGGCGAACAGGCGATGGGGCGAACAGGCAGTGGGGCGAGCAGGCAGTGGGGCGAGCAGGCAGTGGGGCGAACAGGCAGTGGGGCGAACAGGCAGTGGGGCGAACAGGCAGTGGGGCGAACAGGCAGTGGGGCGAGCAGGCAGTGGGGCGAACAGGCAGTGGGGCGAGCAGGCAGTGGGTCGAACAGGCAGTGGGGCGAACAGGCAGTGGGGCGAACAGGCAGTGGGGTGAGCAGGCAGTGGGGCGAGCAGGCAGTGGGGCGAGCAGGCAGTGGGGCGAACAGGCAGTGGGGCGAACAGGCAGTGGGGCGAACAGGCAGTGGGGCGAGCAGGCAGTGGGGCGATCCGGGAGTGGGGCGACCAGGGAGTGGGGCGAACAGGCAGTGGGGCGAACAGGCAGTGGGGCGAACAGGCAGTGGGGCGAACAGGCAGTGGGGCGAACAGGCAGTGGGGCGAACAGGCAGTGGGGCGAACAGGCCGTGGGGCGAGCAGGCAGTGGGGCGATCAGGGAGTGGGGCGAACAGGCAGTGGGGCGAACAGGCAGTGGGGTGAACAGGCAGTGGGGCGAACAGGCAGTGGGGCGAACAGGCAGTGGGGCGAACAGGCAGTGTGGCGAACAGGCAGTGGGGCGAACAGGCAGTGGGGCGAGCAGGCAGTGGGGCGAGCAGGCAGTGGGGCGAACAGGCAGTGGGGCGAACAGGCAGTGGGGCGAACAGGCAGTGGGGCGAGCAGGCAGTGGGGCGAGCAGGCAGTGGGGCGAACAGGCAGTGGGGCGAACAGGCAGTGGGGCGAACAGGCAGTGGGGCGAGCAGGCAGTGGGGCGAGCAGGCAGTCGGGCGAACAGGCAGTGGGGCGAACAGGCAGTGGGGCGAGCAGGCAGTGGGGCGAACAGGCAGTGGGGCGAACAGACAGTGGGGCGAGCAGGCAGTGGGGCGAGCAGGCAGTGGGGCGAGCAGGCAGTGGGGCGAACAGGCAGTGGGGCGAGCAGGCAGTGGGGCGAGCAGGCAGTGGGGCGAACAGGCAGTGGGGCGAACAGGCAGTGGGGCGAGCAGGCAGTGGGGCGAACTGGCAGTGGGGCGAACAGGCAGTGGGGCGAACAGGCAGTGGGGCGAGCAGGCAGTGGGGCGAGCAGGCAGTGGGGCGAACAGGCAGTGGGGCGAACAGGCAGTGGGGCGAGCAGGCAGTGGGGCGAACAGGCAGTGGGGCGAACAGGCAGTGGGGCGAGCAGGCAGTGGGGCGAGCAGGCAGTGGGGCGAACAGGCAGTGGGGCGAACAGGCAGTGGGGCGAACAGGCAGTGGGGCGAACAGGCAGTGGGGCGAACAGGCAGTGGGGCGAACAGGCAGTGGGGCGAACAGGCAGTGGGGCGAACAGGCAGTGGGGCGAGCAGGCAGTGGGGCGATCCGGGAGTGGGGCGATCAGGGAGTGGGGCGAACAGGCAGTGGGGCGAACAGGCAGTGGGGCGAACAGGCAGTGGGGCGAACAGGCAGTGGGGCGAACAGGCAGTGGGGCGAACAGGCAGTGGGGCGAGCAGGCAGTGGGGCGAGCAGGCAGTGGGGCGAGCAGGCAGTGGGGCGAACAGGGAGTGGGGCGAACAGGCAGTGGGGCGAACAGGCAGTGGGGCGAACAGGCAGTGGGGCGAACAGGCAGTGGGGCGAACAGGCAGTGGGGCGAACAGGCAGTGGGGCGAACAGGCAGTGGGGCGAGCAGGCAGTGGGGCGAACAGGCAGTGGGGCGAGCAGGCAGTGGGGCGAGCAGGCAGTGGGGCGAGCAGGCAGTGGGGCGAACAGGCAGTGGGGCGAGCAGGCAGTGGGGCGAACAGGCAGTGGGGCGAACAGGCAGTGGGGCGAACAGGCAGTGGGGCGAACAGGCAGTGGGGCGAGCAGGCAGTGGGGCGAGCAGGCAGTGGGGCGAACAGGCAGTGGGGCGAACAGGCAGTGGGGCGAACAGGCAGTGGGGCGAACAGGCAGTGGGGCGAGCAGGCAGTGGGGCGAGCAGGCAGTGGGGCGAACAGGCAGTGGGGCGAACAGGCAGTGGGGCGAGCAGGCAGTGGGGCGAACAGGCAGTGGGGCGAGCAGGCAGTGGGTCGAACAGGCAGTGGGGCGAACAGGCAGTGGGGCGAGCAGGCAGTGGGGCGAGCAGGCAGTGGGGCGAACAGGCAGTGGGGCGAGCAGGCAGTGGGGCGAACAGGCAGTGGGGCGAGCAGCCAGTGGGGCGTTCAGGGAGTGGGGCGAACAGGCAGTGGGACGAACAGGCAGTGGGGCGAACAGGCAGTGGGGCGAACAGGCAGTGGGGCGAACAGGCAGTGGGGCGAGCAGGCAGTGGGGCGAACAGGCAGTGGGGCGAGCAGGCAGTGGGTCGAACAGGCAGTGGGGCGAACAGGCAGTGGGGCGAGCAGGCAGTGGGGCGAGCAGGCAGTGGGGCGAACAGGCAGTGGGGCGAGCAGGCAGTGGGGCGAACAGGCAGTGGGGCGAACAGGCAGTGGGGCGAACAGGCAGTGGGGCGAGCAGGCAGTGGGTCGAACAGGCAGTGGGGCGAACAGGCAGTGGGGCGAGCAGGCAGTGGGGCGAGCAGGCAGTGGGGCGAACAGGCAGTGGGGCGAGCAGGCAGTGGGGCGAACAGGCAGTGGGGCGAGCAGCCAGTGGGGCGTTCAGGGAGTGGGGCGAACAGGCAGTGGGACGAACAGGCAGTGGGGCGAACAGGCAGTGGGGCGAACAGGCAGTGGGGCGAACAGGCAGTGGGGCGAGCAGGCAGTGGGGCGAACAGTCATTGGGGCGAGCAGGCAGTGGGGCGAACAGGCAGTGGGGCGAACAGGCAGCACAATGATTCAGAGAGCCCTGCCAACGCCAGCGGCAGTGGCAGAAGCGGGTACATTTGAATGGCATGTGCGGCACACAAAGGCACAGAGTGCAGGTAATCGGGTAGTGCAGAAAGGAGCATGGTGAAGCAGCATGGTGAAGGGCAAAGCGGCAGGAAAATACTTGAATCACTTTCGAGAGAGATGGTTTGGGGGGAAGGGCAAAGCGGGGAAGACGGAATGGGGGGAAAGGGGGAAGCGGGAAACAAGGAATGGGGGGAAAGGGGGAAGCGGGAAACAAGGAATGGGGGGAAAGGGGGAAGCGGGAAACAAGGAATGGGGGGAAAGGGGGAAGCGGGAAACAAGGAATGGGGGGAAAGGGGGAAGCGGGGGACAAGGAATAGGGGAAAGGGGGAAGCGGGGAAGAAGGAACAGGAAGCGGGGAACAAAGAACAGGGGAAAGCGGAAAACTGGGAAGATGGGCATTGGGGGCGAGGGAAGGGTGAGGGGGGCAGCAGCTGGTGGCACTGTGGATGGCTTGCTTGCGCTTCACCTTCTTCTCCTTCTCCTCCTGCCACCCATGCACCCCATGCACCCCATGCACCCCATGCACCCCATGCACCCCATGCATGATGGACCCCATCCCATGCCACCCATGCACCCGATCCCACCCATGAGAGTGAACAATAAAGGGAGGAAACAAGGGTAGGAGAGTCCCGAAGGTGCAGGGAGGAAGGGGAAAAGCAGTGAGAGGGATGAGGATATGGCTGTACGCACCACCATTCACCAGCAGCTGTTGCACCTCGCGCCTCTCCATCCATCCCCACTTCTCACCACTTCTTCTCCCCCACCTCCTCTCTCACCACTTCCCACCAACAGCACGTTTTCAATCGGAACCCACCTCCTCCACCCCCGGTCCCAGCCCCTGCCCTTCCCCCCCCCCTTCCCCTTCCCCTTTCCCTTCCCCCCCAAGGTCCCACACTACCCCTTCCCCCTTCCCTCCCCCACCAACCTGGATGCGGCGCAGCTTGCGCTGCACGCGCTTGCTGTTGCGCCGCTTCTTGCGCTCGTCCACCATCTCCAGCTCATCGTTGTCCAGCGCCACGTCATCAGCCACGTCAGCGCCAGATGCCAGCTCAGCTTCCGTCTCCACCGTTCGCTGCGGGAGAAGAGCAGGGAAGCAAGAGTGATTAACAGAGGTCAGGCAACAGGGTTCTCTCACTCACGGAGTGCTTTGCACTGCACACAGCGATAAGCAAGGAACACACGTAAGCAATGTGACAAGGTCAGAGTCAGCAACATTGTGAAGGGCAAGCGAGGTTCGACATTCGAGGCAGATCTCACCTCGTTGGTTACAACGGAACGCCAACAGCGACAAGTTACACTGTGCCCTTTTGAGACGACCCAAAAAAAACTGAATCGACCCATGTTTGCTACAGCCATAGGGCTCACAGATAGCCATGCGCTTCACCTGCCCTGCCTGTCCTAAACCCTCCGCATCCGTAAAACCCTTCACCAGCCAAAATCCCTCCGCCTGTCTAAAACCCTCCTCATACCTAAACCCTCCGTCTGCCTAGAACCTTTCGCTTTATTAAATCACTCGTTTCCTTGAAACCCTCCGCTTCCCTTTACCACTCCGCACCACATGCCTAAAACCCTCCGATACTGACCCCACTTCGGTCAAACCCTCTGCGACGACGGTTGAGGGGCGGCTGCGCGCCCAAGGCTGCGTACTCCAAAGCGCACCGCCCCTGTCAGTGCGGCCGTCCCGCACAGCGCTCCTCTGCGAGCTCCCCCCAACGCACCTCGTCGTGGCGGCGGCCCCCCGCGGAAGGCGCAGGGGGCGCAATGACGATCGCGTTGCTGCCGCCGTCATCATCCCCCACCGTGCTGCTGTCCTCCCCGCCCAGCCCCAGAGACGGATTGCCTTCGGGAGCCCCGCGCCTGCCGTGTACGCGGAGAGAGGGGCGCGCGGGGAACGGGAAGGGGGAGACGGGGGGTTGGGGGTTGGGGGAGAGGGTGGAAGGAGGGAGAGAAGAGGAGGTGAGAGAGGTGGGGGGAGAGCCGGGAGATGGGAAGGGGACCCTGAGGACGCGCGAGCAACGAGGAGGCTAGGGGGATGCGAGCCGTTGATTATGGGGGGCCTGCTGTCAGGGCTGAGGAACAGGAACGAAGGGTCGGCATCTCATGTCGCGCGATCAGAAGCATCTACGCCAAGGGTCTACTACGAGATTTAAGGGTAAGCTACGACCGCTACTGCCGCTACTGCCGTTACTGCCGCTACTGCCGCTACTGCTGCTACTGCCGCTACTGCCGCTACTGCCGCTACTTCTGCTACTTCTGCTACTGCCGCTACTGCCGCTGCAGCCCTACTGCCACGGCACACGAGGTGAGTCCGCGCAACCCCCGCGCGCGCGTGGGGCTCCGCGCTGCCGCACCTGGGCTTCCGCGTGGCGCGCTTCAGCTGCGCCTTCTTCTGCTTCGGCCGCCCCATGCCGCCCGCCTCGTCCGCTCAACTGCTGCCTGCTGCCAGCTTGTGCACGAGCGACGAGGTGTGTCGCGAAGCATGTAGCCAGATGGAATCCAGATGCTGGGGAGGTCGAGAATAGGCGTGGTGGTGTAAGCGGGGTTTGGAAGTCTAAATGCGGCTTGATACGATCTAGAGCGGTCAATTTTAAATATCTAACACTGCTAAATTAAAACACAGTTTAAACTAAAATGCAAGAAACTGCTACACTCTATCAAACATTATTGTCTGCTAATGATGTGTTAATGATTCTTTCAACATCCGATTTTTTCACTCATCTGATTGCTCAAAGATGTATTTCTCATTATAGTTAGCCGAAATTTTACAAGCAGCGCAGACCCAAGCAACATGTGCAATAAAAAGTCTAACATCATCGCTAAGTGTTGAACTGAGAAAGTCCTTAGGATATTTTAGAGTTTAGTCTCTATAATATATTGCTGCATAAGACTTGAATTCCTGTACTGATATATTGTGAGAACAAGAATTGAATAATAATGAAGAGATACAAGAGATTTATAGTCTACGAAAGTACCTATTCAGATATGTACCTGTTCATGAAACGGGCTACGAAGGGGTATAATCCTGTGTCACGCGTGTTGGAATAACCTAAAGGTTACAGTAACATTCCCGAAGGCTCTCCACTCGCGCGTCTCTCCATAACGAAACTACGCGCCTGTATCATTATCGCGATAGCTCATATAGAGCATGCGGAAGGTCGTGTCAAAATACTGAACGAGAAATGAATGCATTGAACAGAAAGTTGGTACAAGTACTAACCCTAATTGGGTTGTACCCCTTATGAGCTACCCCACTACAACCTACACAATATAAGCATGATAACATTTTGACACACCCAGATAAGCAAAGTGGGGGAGAACAAGTGGTCACAAGACCAATCAAGAAAAGCAAAGCAAGCTCATGGTGGATCACGAAGTCACCACACATTCCGAGCACAAGTAAATGGCCACAAGGCCAGTTCACATGCAGAATTATATAACAGAGAACAAACAGTACAGTGATCAAACCCTAACAAGTGTAAGCATGCAGGTATATATATAGATCACAGTACAAGCAAAGTCACGCAGTGAGCAAGTAAGGCAAAGTAGGCACAAGGCCTAAAACAGTACAGAAACCTTGATGATCACCAAACTGAAGTGCCTTGGTGGAACAGAGGAAGGACGAAGTGCCATATGGTGCGTGCCGGGGACAGGAGGAGGACGCTGACGAGGAACACGACGACCACTGCGAACAGCGCGAACAGGCGAGGCAGGACGAGACACAGGCTCACGACGCTCTGTAAGACCTCCGGTCTGCTCTGTGTAAGGAGAAGGAGCAGGCAGTGGGGAGGCTGGCTGTAACGGCGGCTACGACTGGTCAGGCGGTGGACACAGTAAGGCAGGAGTAAGGTCAGTAGAAGACGAGAGACCAAGAGCCTGCTGAAGCAGGGGAACGAAGTACGGTCGCGGCCGTCCAGTGTCTCCAGCTCCAGCACCAGCAGCACCAGCACCCCCAGGGCCAGCGCCTCCAGCTCCGGTGTCTCCAGCTCCAGGGTCAACAACTCCAGCTCCTCCAGCTCCAGCTCCTCCAGCTCCACCAGCCCCGGCAGCTCTAGTACCCCTAGTACGAGCACCTCCAGGACCAGCAGCTCCAGCACCTCCGGGACCTCCAGCTCCAGCAAGAACTCCAGCACCTCCAAGACTAGTAACTCCAGTACCTCCAGCTCCAGTGCCTCCATTGGAAGAGTCTCCAGCTCCGGCAGCTCCACTCCGAAGGCGTGTGCGCCGAGCAAACCACTCGCGCAGCTGCTATGGGGAGAGAGGCTCCGACCGGGGAGAAATTCGTGGCGAGGCATCCGCAGGACGTCCAGAAGAAGCAGTACCCCTCGGCTCAGCACCCCCAGACTCCGCACACTCAGAATCAGCACCCCCATGCTCCGCACCCTCAGGCTCAGCACCCCTAGGCTCCGCACCCGCAGGCTCAGTACCCCCTGGCTCCGCACCCCCAGGCTCAGCACCCCCAAACCCCGCACACTCAGACTCAGCACCCCCAGGCTCCGCACCCCCAGGCTCAGCACCCCCAGGCTCCGCACGCGCAGGCTCAGCACCCCCAAACGCAGCACCCCCAGACGCAGCACCTCTAGCAACACCTGAGTCTACAGCGACCTCAACAGGCACAGTACTAGGGAGTGGGTCTACCTGAGACACACCTGAGGGAGTAGGGCCCTGAGGGGGGAGGGGGTCTACTGGAGGGGGACCTGGAGCAAGGAAGAGCGGAGGGGGCGGGAGAGGGGCAGAGCGGTAAGGGAAGAGACGGTAAAAGGGAACCGACTCGTCAAACATGACATCCTGAGAGGGGAGGACACGGCGCGAGGTAGGGTGGTAAAACTGCCAGCCAGGCGCGTCAGGGGGAAAGCCAAGGAAGACGCAGGGAATAGAGCGGGCGGAGAGCTTGTCCGCGGACGTATCGCGAACAAAGGCACGAGAACCCTAGACCCGGAACACCGATGCATCGCCAACCTTCCCCGTCCAACGCAGTGTAGGCGAGGTCTCCGGCAAGGAGACACGGGGTCAAGGGTTGAGCTGATGCGCAGCGTATTGGACCGAAAATGGCCATATAAAGTGGGGAGAAGTCACATGGATCATGGAGGTACGAGCCACCTCCATGCTCAGCAATCCCATTTTGCTGTGGAGAGGCCGGAAGCGTGAACGTCTGGAGAATGCCCTCCCCAAGACAAAATTCCCGCAAGAGGTCGGAGGAGAACTCACCACCTCTGTCAGAGTGCAGACGCAGGACAGGATGGTCCTGGCGGAACCGCTCGCGGAGCTGGAGACGAACTGCACGGAACTAAGGGATCAAGACATCAGAGACCTCACCCTTGCTGCGTAAGGAGAAGACCGTGTTATAACGCGTGTAGTCGTCAACAACCAGCAGAAAGTAGCGCACGCGGCCCTGTCCACTGACGCGAGATGGGCCCCACACATCCATGTGGAGAGTCTGCACGGGAGCAGTCGTCAGGGGAAACGAGGAGGAGTGAGGAGCGGCGCGCTGCCGCCCCTCGACGCAAGGAAGGCAGGGCGGGGCAGGCGAGGGCGGGAGGGGAGGTAGAGACCTGGGAAGACCAGAGACAAGGAGGCGGGAGTGCATGCCACGAAGGCGTGGCAGGGAGGGCTGACCAAGGCGGTGGTGCCACAGGAGAGTCTGGTGCGACAGGAGGCGACACGAGCAGGGAGGTGCTATCGGACCTGACGCGGACACCTGGGCAGATGTAGCTACCTGAGGAGGCTCGGTAGCCAAGGTGTACAGACTCGACCCAGGCCGACAGGTGAACATGGCTAGGTGATGGCCCGTCCGTGTACACGTGCAGATCGACACACGCTAACCCCCAGGAGTGGTGGTGGTGACCATTGCATCCTGGAAGGCAGCGGTACTAACCAAGTTCGTAGAGAACGAAGGGAGGTGAAGACCTGACAGTGAGCCGGACGGAACCGCCGGACACGGGAGAACAATGGAGGAACGGGCAAGAACTGGGCCCCCTGAGGGGTCAGCCAGTCTGGCCGGTACAGGTGCTGAGAGAGGAGTGAGGGTGGTGCTGTCGCGAAAGAAACAACGGGAAGCACCTGAGTCAAGCGTAAAGGTGTGCAAGGCCTCAGCAGGCGCAGTACCAGGGAGAGAAGACTCATTAGCACCTGGAGCAGCAGCCTCTATACCTGGGTCAGGCGGCACACACAGGTAACAGTCACCCTTAGCACTAATAGACAAGGCATACATAGCAGCAAGGATATCATCATAGTCAAGATCAAAGATAGCAACGCCAGACCTAAGCAGCTCTGCCCAGCGGGAGCGCTCGGCCTCGTCACCAAACTCTGCACGCCAAGCGTCGTCTAGGCGGGAGAAGCAGCGGTGCTGAGTGTGAGGCTTCCCGCATGTCTGACCAGCACGGTCACCCGTGCAAATGACATACGGGCAGCTAGCACTTCCCCCAAACGCCCCACGCTGAGAAAACCACTCCCGAAGCTGCTTGGGCGAAGGGGTCTCGCTCCGACGCTGTTGCTGCTGCCGCTGGCCACCGCCAGAACCTCCCCTCTGAACAGCTTTACTCCGACTACCACCACTCCCACTGCCGCCACTACCGCCACTCCCACCGCTGCCACCACCGCCGCCACCAAAGCCCCCACTCCCGCCACCACTCCCACTGCTGCCAGCACCTCCACTACCTCCACCACCTCCACTGCCGCCCCCACTACCACCCCCGCTGCCACCTCCACCACTCCTGCCACCCTTGCCCTTGCTGCTGCGGCGCTTCCCACTAGCAGAAGCAGCCCCGACATCCTCAGCACCAAGGATGTCAACAGCAGCAGCAGAGGCGTAGGAGGGGGCAAAGTGGGAGGGGGAACACCCCTCAAAGAAGGGCGTTCAAGGAGTGCCACGAGCGGCATCTATAGTGACTACACTAGTCTCAGCTGCAGGGAGGTGCTGCTCGAGCAGGTCAACGGTGAGGTCTGTGGGGTCAAGTGTGAGAAAGTGGTCCCTGACTGCGCGAAGAGAGTCAGGGAGGCGGGTGACTATGAAGTAAAGAGTGATGTACATCGGGGGGGGGGGGGGGGGGTTTCCTGTCAAGGAACTATGCTGGGAGGGCAGCGCGGTAGCGAGCGTCGCTAGTGTGAAGGTGGGTAACGAGGTCCTCTACTGTGGCAAAGGCGGACAGCTCGGGAAACAGGTAGGGCAGTAGAAGGCAGCATAGAGCAGCAGTGGCCGGGGAGGAGTAACGAGCGACTACAGCGTCGTACAGTGCTTTAGCAGTCTTGTGCTGTCCGAAGTGAGCGCATTCGGCTAACGGCAGGTGGTTGCGAATGGCTAAGCAAGCAGCAGCGTCACGGGTAAGCCACTGTGAGCGAGTCGCACTGTCAGCTGTGGCGGGAGGGGCGAGAGAGGCTCCAGACGTGTGGTCAAACAACGAAACGCTGTCT